ATTCATGTTACCCTTCTCATGCTCATTTAGATTTTGTGCTCAAGTCCAATATCTTGATCTGTCAATAAATAGATAAGAAAAATCATATTTTGTCGATGATTTGAAAGAATTTTGGAGAGATTGAAAGTCTAACACCATTTTCAAAGATGACCATACACCCTGCTTTAAGCAGATTACAAGAAAATTAGTTTGATCACAGAAGCCATGCTTGAGAACGAGAACGGTCTCATGGATACGGGCCCATGAAAAGCACGCCTCTCTTTCATCAAAAACACCAAACATGTTATTCTAAGTCAAATCCGTGTACCCAGTAATGTCATGTTATCAAAGTGAGGGCCGGGGTAGTGACAACAAAACTGTAAGGTACACTTATGAGCATAATCAAAAACATGCATTGATATAGCGAAAAGAAATAGAATATTTCCGAATGTGACCATAATGGTGACAATAAAAAAAGATGTCTTTCGTCTTAATCCAGCTGAGTTTTTTTCGAAACTTTTAGTTGTAATTTTGTCAGCATTTATATCTCTCACTATAACCATAATATTTGGAACATGTTTATCCCACAGCTACGTGTGCTTTATCACTAATAAACGTTGGAGAAGACGTTTCTAACTGCAGATAAATTGTGCCGAATCCTTTTTGTTTAATGACGAATACAGGTTTTTTTTAAATAATTTTCGAAAAAGGAAGGAGTCACAATTATTTGATACTTGATCTTCAATGCTGAATGGAGCTTGGTAAATATTGATGACTTTAGGGGAAATAGGTTGCGACTGGAACCAAGGACCTCACAAATCTTCCTTATTTATAACACAAGTAATTCAATTTGGGTTAGCATTGTCAGTATTGGATAGCAGTTTGATGGTATGCACATATCCGCCCTGACTGACCCCCATGGGCTGATGGGTGGGGCCAAAATGGATCGAATTGACTGAAATTTCAAAAATCTTCTTCTCAAGACCCAGTTATGGTAGAATCACATACTCTTCGTAGATACAAGGGTTTTAAGGTGCTCTACTAAAATTGTAAACTTTATGACCCTAGGGTCTCACGTTTACCCCTGGGGAAGGGAGGGGGTGGCAAAATTTATTATGGTTTATATTGGCAAAAGATATTTTGGATATTACATGTTGATAACTTGATTGGAATTATAACCCTGAGTTGACAGTTTGATACTTTGAAAATTTTGAGCCAGACCCACCCCCAAGGGCTGTAGGGTGGGGCCAAAAGGAGTCATTGTGCTAAATTTTCTTCATTTTCCTTGTAAAGAATAAGAGGTGCTAGTTTTAAATACTTTTTAGTCTAAAATCTGTATGCTAGATATTGAATAAGGTGTTTTGATTGTTTTTTTGTCAATTTGAATAATATTTCTGTTCATGTTTTAAAAACAAAAATCAACTGTCTGTATAAATATATCAGAAATCAGGATACCGTTAAGGCCCATGGGCCTCTTGTTTTATTCCAACTTGCATTTGTAGGGTTGATGATATAGAGTAGAAACATGTTAGTAAACTTAACTTATATTAATATGTGTTGTGGAAGCTCTTTATATAGTTATTTTTTTCATTATCATAACACTGAGTTATGAAAAGTTGAAAGGCCAGAACCGCAAGTTTACAGAAACCTTATACTATTTAAATTTAATTTCTTGGATATCATGCTAACTATACAAACCATTTGCAAAACTTGTGGACGTGCTGTTTTAGTAAGACGTGTTATTATAAACCTATTATATAATGTGTCCAATGCTGAAACAGACTAGTAAGGTGGCCTTCAATGTAATATTGGCAAACGAACAAAAATGACATAGGTGCTATTTTTGTCTGACTGGTAGTTCTCGGACGTTATTGTTAAGCATTACATTAATGCTAGTAGGTGTTTAGGTAATCCCACTGGGTTATTTATAGACACTGGTTTTCCGTACGTGCCTTATACAATGTTAGACAGCTCAGACTTAAGCTCTTCGGATTCAGAGGACAGCTATTCTCACTTTTTTGACTTTGACCTACTCTCAGGTATAGCATACATTTTAATGTCGTATTATACCGAATAGTGATCCTGTATATTGTTATTGGTTCATAAACGCGTTAGTTTTAAACACGACGCTTGACCTAGTTTATAAAATCAAATCGTTCTACACAAATCATAACGAAATGGACTGATTATTTTAAAATGTAAATTTGTGTAACAATATAAAGTACAAATCAAGTAATTATTTAACTAAACTCGCCAAGTTGTCAATAGATATCCAACGCCAAACATAGAAATATATTACAATTATGTATTGATACAACAACCATGTGTATATATATCTAAGCGAACTAGGAGGCTGAGTTACTAGCGCTTTATTCCCTCTTTTTGGTCATCATGCATCTGATTTGTTTTAAGTTATAGTTCCAAATTTAACATTTATTGGACAAGAGTTGATGACGTTCATAATCTTTGCTGGTAAATGTGTCGTTATGAATACACGGAAAAAGAAAGCAAACCAGTTCTGATTGTATTTTATCTGTGTAAATCCTGTACTTAAGTTGTTGGACCATGAACAACTTTTATTCAGTCTGACATTTTTTAATTATACCACATTGCATTGAATGGGCAGTTGTCAGTTACATATTGGAAATCTTTGTGTTGAAGGTTGTCCAAAATCAAAAAGGTTTTTCGGGGGGGGG